AATGAAGAACAACAGACGCATACTACAGATATGTTAAAGCGTGTGAAAAACTACGAAGAATTCGCTCAATTAGCGTTAGGGATAACCTGGGAGCGACGAATTTCTACGTTGACTTCTCGAGATCCAAGTGATACAGCAAAAAAATTACTTAAGTCATCGAATTTCGGCAGCTTCTTGAAATTAGCCATCAACGAAACAATGACAGTAGTAGCACCTCGATGCCTGTTGGGTGTTTTAGAGCGATGTAATAATTATATTGAAAGATGTCAGCAACGACTACTTTTACGTATGAGTGCATTGAAAACTGGTCTGAATATACTGCTGAGTGTTCGAGATTCGATAGTGGAAGAATTTTCTAATCTGACGAGCTATCATAAATTGGATTCTATGCTACTATTAAACAAAACCAAACAAATAGTTACAACGAAAATATTAACCGAATATAATAGTGTAGCAATATCAATAATTAACGATATCAAACCTGCTCTGCAGTTCTCTCCTATTCCAAGCTATATTTTACTTTGTGAAGGGGATCTCAGCGATATGCGGATACGTCATATGAAAGCTTTGAATGAGAATATAGAATTTTGTGTGGATAAAAATCACAGAAAATTGGATGAAGATCTACGTACTGTTACGGACAAAATATCTTTAAAAATTGAAAAAGCTCTGCTACGTCTAGCTGAGCTTCCGGATATTTCGAACAACAAAAACGCCCATGATGTATATGGTAAGAAACACTTTAATACTAAAGAAGAGAAAAAACATTACTCGACAACGTTGGATCATTGGTCGCACAGATTTTTTGATGTTGATATGCTAATAAAAACGAAAGGAACAAGCATCACATTAAAATCAGAATTAAATTCAATGTGTGACAAAGTAATAGCATCAACAAACTATGTGTTAGAAAGTCAATATAATGATCATTTCCAGCAACTAAATCAAACAATAACAAGTATTTTAAGAAATATACAGACGTCCATAAACTATATTAAACGACAAAGTAATATTAAAAAGATAGAAAATGATCTTAAAATTATATCAGCTGAATGTCTGGGTTACTTAGGAGAAGTTAATGATTATAGTATGATAATTAAACAATATTTCCAGCATACTGAATCAGCTTCAACGCTTTAACTTGCACGTTTGCTAAAATATCACAATTTTTCTAGACTGTGATCGATGTCGCTCTTTTAAAAAGAAATAGCTAATGCAAACACTAACACTACTTGCAAAACATTATACAGTATTTTAAAAGCCACATTTACTGTTTAAAAAGTCTATAATCTGAGGATATCTAGCAGATAGTTGGTAGTATTATCTGCCAACTTAGCTCAAATATATCAATAATTAAATGCATCTTCTAGACAAAAATCGGTCTTCTGTACGTTATAGATTTTCTTGCTGTATTTATATCAGAAAACCAAAAATCTACCATGAAAGGGAACAGAGTCCCATTTAAACTATGGCAAATAGAACGTCTGAAACCTGTACTTTATACGCTTGTTAGCGACAGATTAAGAAGTTTTTCGATACACCGACATTTTCGCGAACGACATTACCGCGAATCCACATTTTTGTGATAACAGTATCGCCACGACTCTTCCACAAATTTTTTAAAACAGACTTTCAAGAAACTAAACTTTAAAAGACTAACGAAACAAGTGGCGGCACTAGTGGCTCCAGTCGTTATTACAATTTAAATATACCTTCACCTTGAAATAGTTTCATATCACAAAACTACTTGAAAAGCTCAATAAAATTCCTACGACATCATGAAAATATGTTCTGCGTGAACTACTTTTCGAACTCACTCTCACACTACCCGCACTCCTGTACTACGCACCGCCAAAAATACCCAAATATGTACTATGAATCTACGTGTCCAATCAAAGCCTGTTTATGTAAAGCTAAAGGTGTTTTATGCTGTACAAAGTGTCATACAAAAATGTCCATCTTTGAATGTATAAATTTAATAAAATATCAATTAGACTATTAAGTTTATGCGTTTTTATTAGAATTATGCCTAGCTAGGTCTATTAATACATCACAAATGAGTTTTAGTAGATAACGAAACTTCAAAGACTCCTTTCAAATGATACAGACATACAGGAAACGGAAGAGTTATACAATATGCAGAGACACTTATAAAAACGACTCTGGGAAAGACGAAAGTAAATATAAATACTCATCAGATAGATCAGGAATAGAATAGTCTTCACTATAACCAAAAAAAACAGACATTTTTGGATTGCCGAGATATGAGGCATAAAACGTTTCGACCGATGTATACATCTGATACAAAGAGATTTACTAAGCCATTGTTCGCGAAAGACGTTGAGAGAAAAACATTCATAAAGGAGGGTACCATCAATCAATTTAGACAACGCTAGTAAATACCGTTTCCAATAAACATGACAACGATTCTCTAGGGAAATTTCTTCAAAGAGAAAAGAAAAAAGAAAATCATTCCAATATATAGCATTAAACAGACGTTTTAAACAAACAAAATAAAAATGTGATAAAACCGCTCGTTGATATTCGGTTAATAAAGGGAAAATAATAAAAAGTCATGTAAAAAATGGTAATACATACACAGAAAATAAAATTCTTCTTAACAGAGGACTCGAGGAACCACTGATACGGCATGACTTCACGATAGCTATCCGCTGTCTAATTTTTATTTTAAAAACACTAATCATCTTTCCCCACCCCAGTTTACATGAGATATAGTATCCCAAATATTTGAACCATTTCACCAAATTTATCTTGCTTTCCCCACAAACAATTTGAAAACTTGGACCTCCAATCGCTCTCGCACTCCACAATGCTTCTGTTTTCAAATAGTTTATAGGTTGCATCAAGGTTGAGTCAAGGTAGAATAGAATTCCAGAAAATCAAAAAGTTTTTTCAATCGAACTTCCAGATCCAGACACTGTTGGAAATATTTCTCCCCTATTTTACCACTTAAGACACACGCTAGGTCGTCAGCGAAAAAATTCGGAAGAGAAACTTCTGCAAAAGTCCACATATCACAATGATAGGTAATGAAGAGAATCGGTGTAAAACATGAACCTTGAGGACCACCTCTTTGAATCATAAATATTCTCGATCTTTTACCATTAATTTCGACATAACCATTTCTATTTTTTAACGAAGCAGCTATCCATAAACATAGGCTTTGGGAATACCTAATCTCAAGAGTTTTCCGAGACAACCTGCCCACCATAGTTGATCAAATGCTTGCTTAAAATCAATAAATACTGTGGCTACTGGAGAATTATTACTCATAAGAGAAGAAATTTGTTCAATTAAAAGAAGAACTCGAGATTGCAGTAGAAAGTTAGATCTAAACCCAGATTGTGAATCATGTAGGATACCTCTGCGATTTAAAACCTGTTGAAAACGGTCCAAAAAAAGCCGCTCCAACACTTTCAAGAAGACATCAAGAAGGGAAATAGGTCTTGTATTAGAAACAGTGCAAATGGTTTCTTTTTTTGCTAACAATTTCATACGCACTTTTTTCCAATAGGATGGACCAACAAAGGAAGACAAAGAAAGATTAAAAATTTGAAGTAATCCTACCCAATACTGTATTGGGATAAACTGAAACATAAAAGTTGAAAGCCCATGA